TATAAAAAGCAGCATAAATACATTCAGACAAAACCGATAGGACGAAAAACAAATGTAAAAGAACGAGACGATGAAACCCTACTTATAGCCACGGACTGAAAACTCTCGTACACGATGTAAAAACCACAATTTAAAAGCAAAGACTGACAACTCTTACGGCCCGTCCACACACAGGCATGAAAAATATCTTTCAAAGCTTCGCCCATTCACTTGAATGGGGTGACGTAGAAGATTTTTAATCTTCGCCGAACTGCATTGTGGGGAGCGGAGCATGGCTTTGCAAGCATCGTGAGCATCAAAAGTTGAGCAATGTTCAACTTTTGATGCTCATGCTTGCGAAGCTGGCATCAGCCAATCAAATCCCGTTTATGCAAATCCCGCCAGTGCAAGCGCTAGCCAATCAAACCGCGTGCAAGCTGGGAGAGCCAGACCGCAGTTCATTTCCTCATATTCCAAACGAGAAATTACGGTAGCAAATCACACGGTTCTTTACGACCAGAACTATTTACCGGGATACAAACCGGAGGAACCAGGCATGGAGGGAGGTGGCAGAGACAGTGGGTGAAACTGGTAGGTTTTCGCCTGTTTGGGGAGTTTATATCCAGTTTACTTCGTTTTAACATTGCTATTGCTTTGTATGTCGGGGGCGGGAGATTCATGTGATTGGTTGTTGGTCGCGTTGCTCGCAAAAAATCGCCAAGATTCAGACACGCCCAGCATCAAGATTTTTTAAAGATTTTTTTCATGACTGTGTGTGGACGGGCCGTTACTCTGCTTTGTGCACATATTTACATCTGTGTTTAATATTTGTCACAACTGTATTTCACTTACACATGCCTAAACCCGGCACCTTGTTTTAATATGTTTCAGAACTTGCATCTTATCTGTAAATAATGATTTTATATTTATACAACTTGACTGTATCTTTCCTTACTCTGATACTGTAACTTAATATGTGACGATGCTGTAATCTACTCTTGGCACTTTTGCAAAAATAAATGTATTTGTACCTTGTGCAATGACAATAAAGTACAATGTGCACATTTTTACTTCATATCGTATAGATATTTTAATTATATTCAATTTATTTGTATCTTCTGATTTCACATTCTTATTTTAACTTATTGTGTTAACGTAAATATGTTTCTTTCGCTTTTTTCAAAACCTTTAACTTATTCAATTTTTAAATGAAGAAACTGCCACGTAAGCCTTTCCCCCCAGTATTCTGATTTCCATGCAAAACAAAATGTATAATCTCTTTCCCTATAAGAAAAAAACAAGCATCATGGGTAGTGTAGTTGTGCCTCACCAGGGTGAAGAAGGTGCAGAGGAGGGTGATGGTGCCGAAGTATGCGATGTAAGCGTGCATGTCGTTGTGCTCCTCCTCGGTGAACAGGGGGTTGTCACACTGGATCCCGCAGCCCTCCACGTCCTTGTACCAGCTGGACTGAATGTCCGTCTTCACCAGGGGGGCTTCACAGCGGCTCGACATGTTGAACTTCAGCTTCTGCACCTCGTTCTGCATACAGAGGAGAAGGTGAGATCCTAGTGCAACGTTGACCTCTGACCCTCAGCATCAATACATTTCATTACAAAGAAGCCTACCGAGCAGCCCACTGGGAACTTGTCACAGGTGAGGAAGCTGGGCCAGCCCCTCTCCTGGTCCACGATGCTGCAGGGCCCGCGTGTGGCCAGACACAGGCTCTTACTGGGCAGCTCCACTCGACCGTTCTCACATTTGGGCATGTAGACGGCACAGAGCAGCGGCTGGATGACCGTCCAGCAGCGAGGAGCGTTACGCAGACCTGTGGGATGGAAAAACAGTCTTACAAACATTGAAATAAATCATGAGATGTGTACGATAATCTGCTACACTTATCAGACTCGTGACGGTGATGATAAGCACAAACACATGAATAGAAAATGTGGCAGGGCCAAGAATATATCAGTTTGATCATAGATGAATCACCTTGATTCACATAATCTAACTATCTATTGTGTAATAAGACATGGTTTAACTTGATTAATCAGCCAAATCCGTTTAGACAACTAACACCTTATCATCCAACTGCTAAAAATGTAGTGACGATTTTGAGTGAAAATCTGTATTAGCAGGATCACTCATAATCGTCCTTAAGCCAATGAAATGATTAATTGAGACTTGGTTAAGGGGAATTTTGGGAGGTTTTCAAAAAAAATGATGACTTCTTATCCCTCCTATATGTATGCTGCTATTGTGTTTACATTACACAGGAGCCATAATAAACCATATCCAACAACACAAAAAGGTATGGGTGGATGGGACCCTTGACCCTGAGAGGCGGGGGCCTGGGTCTGACAGGTCATTAGAGAGTTTATGAATGTGAAGCAGAATATCTAAAACCCTTTTATTGTTGACACTCTTCCATTGTTAGCTCTCTAGCACCTATGAGTGATTCCTTTTGTTGCCTTTAATGGCTTTTACCCCTTCATTTCCTGTTTGGGCTCTCTCCCCTCTGAGACCCCTCATCACAGTCCTTTGTCATAACAATTAACATTATTAGCACTTACAAACCAGGTACACAACACTGACTTTTCCTATGTAGTGAAACTGATATATTTATGTATAAATTGCTCCAAAATAAAAGCCTGAGGGCCAGATTTTTATTGTCATTTGATTTTAGAATTGACTTGGTTATGTTAGTTCACAATGGACTTTTTGTGAAATTACACATCGTATTGATCACTTTCAAAACAAGTAAGTTAGATAGCTATTCATAATAACCCAATATATTTTTGACATTTAATCTATCATAGTACAACTAACATACATGTATCCAAGAGTACAGTTTTTTAATTGGATCACAGGATGATGATCACTCCTCTCCCACACTCTAAAGTATTCACATCAGATGGAGTATATTGGTGTTTATTGAACAGATGAACCCTGGATCTCACCGGACCACATGGCCAGCTTCTCAAAAGCCTCTTCTTGGGTGCTGGAGTCCTCGGCCAGGACCAGAGAAGTGTGTGTGTACGGCAGAGGCGACCCCAGACATGTGTTGTATTTCAGAGCCTCACAGGTCGAGGTTTTCTTGCAGTGGTCCTCAAATATGGTCCCGTTTGGAGACAACACCGCCCCGCAGCCTGAGAGCCAGGCAGCCCAGACGCACAGCATCCCGCAAAACCCAACAATGGGGCTCCGAGCCCGGGAGGACATCTTGGGGGCCGAGAACGAGCCGTGCAAAACCGATTAAATTATTCAGTTTTACCTAAAGAAACCCGGAGATCAACTTGTCTTCTTTAGATTTCGAATACGTTTCCAAAATCGGCATTATGAAGGAGATCTGCAAGGCGTTTCAAAGTTTGTTCCCAGTCCTCCCAAACTTTTGTATCCTGCAGTTCTCGGCCGATCCCCGCTGGATCCTCCGGGATTCCTTCATTATCCAGATCCGATCGGCTCCAGAAAGTGCCCTCAGCTGTAGAACAACCGCATCATCGCCTCAAAACCATATAAAGTATTCATTTGAAGCTTTTAGGATGGGTTTTAAACAGACATCAGGCCGAGAAAGTTGCAGGATCGCCCTCCCCCACTTCCAAAAAACTTGCCATGAGAAGTGGATGTGTAATAGGATCTCTGGCTCTGATGCACCACCCCCTTCTCCGGAGCCCCCCTTCTTTAAAATGGCAGAAAAATAGGATGATAATTGAAGCTATATCTCTCTACGTGTCCCAATGAGTGTGTGTTTCCCCTGATGCAGTGTGAGGAGGATCTCTCTGTGTGTTCCCGAGCTGCGGGTCGGTGTCTGCAGGTTAAAGTCTCTGGTATGCACATGGGGGAGAGACGGAGCAACAACACTTCCCCTCCCATCCCCCTCCGCAAGAGGAAGAATGTGCCTTATGGCAGGCCTTCTCAAAACGTTTCTCATCTCAAGGACCCCCAAACAACCCAGAGCCCCCATCCGATCTGCATCTCAGTTTGTTCTGAAATAGATGAAAAACTGGTCAACTTGTGCCAACTCTCAGGGAGTAAATCTAAAATGTTTCTAAAATGTACCCTAAGGACCCGAGGGTGGTCTTCAGCTCTTCTAGAATACATATACAAAGGGTAACCTTTGAATGAAATACATATAAAGGAGTATTATGTATTACATTATTATATTATAATACGTATTACGTATTTGAAGTAAGGTATTATTATATATAATTACATTATGGGCAGCATATTAGACACATATTAAACAATAATAACAACAACAGATACTCAACAAATGTCCCCTCTGTGGGATGAATACATGTATTCTGATTCTGATGTGTACTGATGCTGCACATCTGTCAGGGATAAAATACCTTGCATGCATTATACTAAATTAAATTAGATTTAAATTGGTGGCTGTCTGCTCTTAGATAATGACAGTCAAAATGTATTCGACTTGATGAATAATGTGTTAATAATGTATACTGTATAAACTGTAAAGCCCCCTGAGTCAAATGTAAAATGTGTGATATTGGGCGGTATAAATAAACTTTGATTGATTGAATAACACATAGATTGAGATGAAGTTTTGAATAGTCACATGTGTATGACAGTAGTGTGCACAGGAGTGAGGGACACAGTTAATAACCTGATATTAAGTCACTTTTCTTTGGGACAAGCATGATGTACTGGGCTTCCTCTCCTGGTTAAGGGGATGAAGGAATCTTAAAAACGGCAAATATTAACATTTAAAACTCAAACTCAAACTCGCTCACATTATTAATTGCAGGTGCTTTAATGAATGTATGTTGATTTGTACATTTTTTATTATACGACTAAAAGCAGCTCGTTAATCTCCAGCATGGTGCTGCTCTGTTGTTAGCGCATTAATTGGACAGTGCACTTGTGGTATTTGCATGCCTGCAGATGCTTTGTTTCTCTCGTGGTGTTCTGTGAGTAAAACTGGGTTAACTCTGCTCCCTCCTCTGTGTGTGTGTGTGTGTGTGTGTGTGTGTGTGTGTGTGTGTGTGTGTGTGTGTGTGTGTGTGTGTGTGTGTGTGTGTGTGTGTGTGTGTGTCTGGGCCTCCATGAAGCCCACAGCAACATGGCTGCCTGAGTGAGTCAGAGGCAGAAACCAGGGACCACACACAGAGTGCGGGCCGAGCCAACACACACACTCTCTCTCTCACTCACACCCCCCACACACACAACCACACCAAAACATTATTGTAAGAGACTGCTACATTCATAAACTGCTGTAACGTTACAAATGTATATCTACACTACAGTGTCACACAAAATGTAGTTTTACTCCTCAGCAGCATCAGAGGTACAGCAGAGTGTGTCTCGGGCCTCAGGGTGAATCACAGCACGGAGAGTTACTGCAGCTTTAAACTAACACAGAAATGTCATGTTTAGATTGTGGACTTGCGTCAAAGGCTGTAAAACATGCAGGACTGTTTCTGCTCCCAAAGATTACAGGCGTCAGGTTTCAAGCTGGGAATGCCTTGCAACTCAGGATTTCATTTGCCAGGCAGAGACGGAGATGAGAGTTGCTTCTTCGCAGATACATGAAACCTTTAGCTGGAGCTTCCCTGGTGGAAGAAGTGAAATGTCTTCAGTTAAAGGACAGCTACTTTTAAAGAACTATCACATGGGTATCACATCATAACAAGATAATACAAACTGATATAAACAGCTGTGTACGATTACCACGGACAAAGAGAACCTCAACCATGCTCTGCTCACTGATTGGTCAGAAAACACAAACTTGGCATTTTCCAGTGACCACACCAACATAACAACACTGGAGGCATTTACAACTGTTTTCTTTAGTGGGGAAATGGGAATTCCCCTTTACTTTTGTATTTTCGTTGACAATTGTTCAAAAAAGAAAAGAAAAAGCAATAGATCAGAGCAGGATTTAAATGATGCCTTATGAACAGAATATGAACTTTGTTAAAAGCCTGTTATTTGGCAGACATGTTCTTATAATGGCAGCATTGAGATGAAATCCAGTGGCTCTGCAGTCCTGCAGCTGGCTAAACGTGAGAAGGAAATGAAATCATGTGAAGAGTAGGGTCTCTGCAGGACAACCTAACATGGCCACTTTATTATGAAGGTGAAGGTATTATGAAGACCTTTGATGCAAACATTACTGTTACATTAAATGACCAAATAAAATATTTTGTTTGTTAAGTAAAAAAGTTCTTATACTGTATAACTTTTGGTATCATGGGTAAAAGGCACTTTGAGACACGCTTTTTAACACATAAGCTTGTGAAAGTATTGTAAGTAGGCAAAGCTTTGTACTCTTCACAGATATTTCAACTACAAAGCGACATTCATTTAAACAACCTGCCAAATATCTGATGCATGCCACAGACGCCAGCAGCTGTAAGGATCATGACGGAGCATGCATAACACATTCTGACCGGCATTCTTTTATTTTGAAAAAATATACAAAATGTGGAAAAATGTAATTGCCTTTTCAGTCAGTTAGCAGTTAACTGTCAACAAGACCCTGATCACCAAATACTCCTCCTGCCTCTGTTTTGGTCCATCAAAAAGTTTGCTAAAATCCAGCTTGGTTTGTGTCCAGCAGGTGGCGGCAGAGTCCAGTTTCTCCTTTCGTCTCCTCTGTGTGTACTAACCTCCACATCCTGGCCAATAGTAATGGCTTGTCCACATGCTGGCTCAATATTAGTCACATGTTTTTAAGTCAAAGCAATGATGCTGGATGCATAATCCAGGCTGCTACAAAAAAAAGGTTTTCAGGCAGTTGTGGTTCTGGTGCCTATCACCAGAATCTGGACTGATCCAGTCTGGGTCATCTCCACGGGTCCGAGTGGTGCTTCAGGTTGTAGTTCTGCAGCTCGATCTGGTCTTTGATCTGGCTGATCAGAATCTGAGACAGGAGGATGCCGACCAGCTGAAGAACAGAACACACAACATTAGTCTCTTCTATTTAAGACTTGAGTGTGAGTGTGAGTGTGTGTGTGTGTGTGTGTGTGTGTGTGTGTGTGTGTGTGTGTGTGTGTGTGTGTGTGTGTGTGTGTGTGTGCGCGTGTGTGTGTGTGTTCTACCTGTGGAATGGCCAGTCCCAGGGCGACCCCCCCCAGGAGGAACAGGTTGCTGTGGATCCAGTCCACCAGTTTGTCGATGCAGCCGTTGACGTGGATATGGTTTCCAGCCTCAGTGTACTCCATCTCTTGCATGCCTTGGCCACACATGGTGTTGATCACGTTCTGCTCAAGTACACACACAGTTATTACATGAATAATAATAAACGCAAAGCAACAGATAAAGGGCTCAGCAGAGTGGTGTTCAGATGACCTCGTCCTTGTTGAGGACGCAGCAGGAGAAGGGCACGGAGCAGCGCTCTCTGCTGGGGTTTTCCGGCTCGCAGCTGAAGTAGATGTTCTGGGACCAGTCGCTGTACGTCACACCCCCACAGCAGCCAAACTGAGGACACATACACACATCATATGCAGGAGACATCCTGATTTTTGTATATTTGCTGTTGGTATTTACAATGAAAAAACACTGATGACCTACGCGTTTCCGGCATGTTTGAACTGCACCCTTACCTCTTTCTGACCAAAGTCTATGAGGTTCTGCAGGTCGATGTCCTCTCTGTAGTGGACGATGGCATCGTTGATCATCACAGTCACTCTATTCCGAGCCTTAGCAGGAGTACAAAAAAAAAAAATCTATTTAATACAAATATTGTTATAAAAATTCAGCATTTTCTATTGAAAAATCTCAAGTTTTATGTCATGTGACCCAGTGAGTCAAAATCAATGCAGAATACCATAGTAGAGCGTAGCTCTTTTTTTTAATTTTTTTATTGGATTTTAGTCCACCTTCTATTTTATATGAATATTTCTATTGAACTATAGAGATGCTAGTCCTCTAACATATTTAAAGTTACAACTTCATGCAACCCTGCCTACAACTAACCGCATGGGAAATGTTAGAATGTTTGTGTTTTTGAGTGTTTATGGCAAGATTAAAGTTGTTCTCCAAACTCTTTGTCCCAGGCTTTCTGTTGAAGTCTCAAGCCCAGTCTGTGATCACCCTAACGACATCACAGAGGTTGTTTGGAGTCCCTCTAGAGACACTGTACAACTGCCTTCACAGGCTGAGTACTCTATGACAAGTAATCCAATCTTCTTGTTTAAAGAGGCCCTATTACGCATGTTGGGGTTTCCCTTTCCTGTAGTGTGTTCTATAGGTTGTTGTGCATGTAAAGGGTCTGCAAAGGCTATCATTACTGTGTTCCCAGAGTTTCCCACCGAGTGGGGAAAGACATTTCCCTGTAAGGGATAATAAAGTGTATCTTCTTCTTCTTCTTCTTCTTCTTCTTCTTCTTCTTAAAAGGACATTCAATAAAACAAATAAAACAAAATCAATCCAAAGAAATAGTCAATAAATAAATGAAGCCCCTTTTTCGAGGCAGGCCAGTATTATTCTGAAGTTTTGCTTACACATTACTATATTTGAAATTTATTTTATGAATATTTATTCTATGATGTATCTAAAACGTATGATGTATTTAGCTAAAGAATAGCTATAAAGAATGTTGATTACAGAAAGGAACATTCACTGTTCATGGTGGGTTTGACAATGTTTACAGTTTGTTAAATAAAACAATTGATCTCTGTAAGTGTAACCTTTTACATGTTTATCATTTGTAATTTGTATTTTTCTAAGGCTAAAAATAATTTCTTGTTGCAATACTTCTTGTGTGTAAGATTAATAGTCTTTCATTTTGAAATCCAAACTCACGTCACATTGTGCTGTTCTCGCGTGAGTTAGAGAGAAACAAGAATGGCATTTTGTTGACAGTGTTAAACAGTTGTGGCCCTACATTCAAGCTGACATTATTCTCAGGTTTGTTTCATTACCTTATCGGCGAAGACGAAGCCCAGGACCCCGGCAACCAGCTGTAGCAGGAAGATCACCGTCAGACAGATGCAGAACTGTGGGGGGAAACAAGAGAGGGAGGGTCACAGGACTGGAGGAATGATTCTGTTTGGGTTCATTATTTAGAGAACCGATTCCATGAGATCCTGTAATTCAGCTGCTAGTTGTTGCCACCTCTACTTGCATGCAGAGAAAGCAAACATCTAAATACAAAGAGAATAACAATAGAAAAACATTGTCAAACTCTGCTACGTAAAGGCTGTTTTAAAATTGATTTCAAAATAAAATAATCTTAACTGTTGCAATGAGTAATTTTCTTTATAAAAGTGCAATACTGTACATGCAGTATGTTATACTGTGTGCCAGTATAACATACTGTTGAGAGGACCTGGCAGCTCATGGGACTGAGCTTGAATCTGACAGCATTCCCTAAACAAAATGTCTCTGCACTGATTTCCTCTTTAGTGGAGAAACTCCTGACTCACCGTCTGAAGGAGGCAGATGTTTTCTCGCAGCGAGCCCACACAGCCACAGAAGGTGAGGATGAACATGAGGACCCCCACCACCAGCAGCATTACAGCGGGGTCCACCGACAGACACCGCAGAGCGGCCTCTGAGGAGGAGAAGAGAGGGGCTCAGATTGATGTGAGGGAGCTACTTTTTCTTAATGACCTTTATTTAATCAGAACAGGAAACATTTATGGAAGTGCTTTAACACGTCTACCTCAGGCTCTTCCACTGCTGAATTGAATTTCTTTTATAAAATCTTCAACAAAACATATGTAAATGCTGTGTTGCTGGTGGAAGCAGTGAGCAAAAAGCCAAAACAAAAGCCCCATCCTAACCCACTAAGCATGAAACAGACTGTATGCTCTATCACTGAAGAATCCTCTACCTGCATGTTTCATCATGCGGGCGTACACGCCGATAGCTACCATCACCAGGGAGATTACCTGAGGAGAAGAGAGAACACGTATGTATTTATACTCACATGTTGAAATAATACTATGGGGTACAATAGGGTGAAACCACACAGAACAGTGTGTAAATCATTGTGTCTATGTTGTTACTTGTCCAGGGAGTGGCACCTGAACACACATCAGATATACATGAGTCAGAGGCTGTACTGATAGAATCAAATCTAATCCTCCAGAAGCACACCCAGTGCTACATGTTGAATCAGTGTTGAACTAGAGGAGAGGAGAAATGTAGATGAGGCTGTTCGGCCATCCACTCTGCTTCCATTTGACTAAAGCGACCTGGCAGCGATCTGCACCTTTCCCTAAAAAGAGGCTTTCACTCAGCGCTCCTCTCAGTCTCAATAGAATAAAAGCGAGTACTCAGAACCCCCCCCCCACCCTCCTGAGTGAAATGGATCCAGGTACAACAAACACTGCTCCTTCTTGGGGTGGGAGGCCAAAGAGAGTTGTCTGCCCCTTTTGTAAAGATTAGTACATGACGCCTGAAGCTAGAGGTTGTTTTTTTGCAATGTGACAGTTGGTGAAATGTTATGCTACAATTTATAGGCGACTAAGTCCCACACTTGCGTTGGTTACACAACTGATTCCCTTATTGGGTTGATCGTCATTGTACCAGCTGATCACCAGGATTATGACAAACTGTGGACTTTCCACAACATTTTTAGGGTAAAGGGAGCCATGCACTTTTCTTTGGTGTGTCCTACACTGAGCCAATTGCGGGCCGCCCGAGGCAACAGAAATGACAACAACACATTCCATGAGGAAGAGCTTCAAGTTTTTACAAAGCCTTCTCCTGTTTGTACTTGGCCAGAGAAGTCATGGACACAGCTCATACACACTTAGGTATAGAAGCTGTTGGAAATGTATAAGAACATGTATAGAAAAGCTCAAGATTTCTCAGATATTAACATGTAAACAAAACGTAAAGTGTCTTGTTTGAGCTTGTTGTCAAAAGAGGTAAATATGTTTAAATTCAACGACATTTCTCCTCATTCCTACAGCATTGTTTTGCTTAAACAGCAGAAACGGACTGCACTAAACCCCAACAAGTTAAATATTAACATCAGATCTGCTTCAAAAATGCTGTAAGTCAGAAATCTCCTTATGTTACAGCCCCCGAGCACCTGACACTGAAACCCCACCAAATGAACTTTGGTTTGTTAACAGCCTGCTGAGCTCTGCTGAATTATTTCCTTTAAAAAAGACCCAGTCATACAATGAATAACATCCTATTTGAGGGAAACACTTTAGCATAATAAGACAGTTTAAATGATAGCAAATGATGCAATCAATGTCATCGCCTGCTGTGTTCACTGAGGCTGGTTTGAAATGGAAAAATCCATCTTATTGGGAAATCTGCTAGACAGGAAGTTAACCTATTTTATGAACAGAAACTAACCTGATCATAAACCACAGCAGACGTGTGAACTGACTTCAAGTGGTGTGAACATTGTTTTTGAGATATCACAGTGTGGTTACACAAATCTAATGATAAATTCCTTATTATACACAGTACCAAGCAGAAAACACAGTGTGTGTGTATTCCTGTGTTCCTGTTTCAACTTTGCATGTTGACTTCCTTTCCCCTCTTTTCTGGACACTGCTTCACTTTTCCTAAACTCCAGGATTAATGAACAACTAACTGAGCAGTGGATGCTCAAATCGCAGCAAACAAAGCCCATAAATAAAGAAGTGCAGATCTGACACTTTGAAATCGCGAGAGAGGTAGTTTAACTCTGGTTAAAACTCCTTTTTAATTTAACCTAATGGAGCAAATATTTTGTGCCAAGAAAGACCGTGATTCACCTGCGCGCTGGAGAATACATACAACTTTCATGTGTTGGGATCTGTGTGACCCCCTGTGTTTAATAGCATAATAAACTCACCCAGAATATTAAATTGAACAAGAACAGTAGGTACTTGACGACTGGACTGATAAAGGAGTAGTTTTCGTCATGTGCGCCTCTGCGTCTTCCTCCCATGGCGACAGGTATCCAAGCGGGTTGTTACGTTTGCGCACAGATCAGCTGTGAGAAACAACGAGTATCCGTGAGTGAAAACCAAAGACTCTGACTCTAAACGATGATGACAAGCTGCTGGTTTCTTCACACACTTGATCCGACACACAGGTCCAGTGAGGCTGCCGCTCTGACGGGGCGGGGGGAAACTGGGTGTGTTACCTCTGTGTCTCACTCCTGTATACCTGGGATCAGATTACCTGGAGCAAGGGCTCCTGAACATAAAGGAACGGGTCCTCTGATTGACCCCGTGGATCTCCAGCTAAACCTGTCAAGTGTGTGTATTTTTACAAACCACTTTTTAGATGTAGGCCTTAACGTGTATGCTTTAATTGGCTACTTTTGCTTTCATTTAAGTTATTTTGTAATTCAAATCTAATAATGAAACGTTGTGTTCAAGCTTGATGGATTAAGGCTAAGTGTATGTATTATAAATAGGCCTATTCATGGGCCTATTAATGAGTTCTGACCTTTTTTCTTTTAGTTCTTTATATATACAGTCTATGGTTCTGACTTTAATATCTGAATTCTGTGACTACAATTTTTTCACATCCCAAAATGTGTTTCTCATGTGGCCCTAATGCTTTCCGTATAATTCCTGTAATAAAAAAATAGTTTATTCGGATTTCGGAAGTAAATATCTCTTTCCATTTAAGACCTGAATAGATTTGGTCATATAGCTATTTGTAAAGCATTATAGGCACTCCAAAATAAGATGTACTTGTCATAGTAGAAAAAGCAGACGAATTGATTAGTTAACATCCTGCAATAAAGATATACACATTTTAAAATCATTTTTTACCTTTCCAAATGAATAATCTAAAATAAACTCCAGGTGGCAGTGACACATGTGTGCCATCTACTGGTAGAACACTGCCTTACTCCAATAGTCCCACATACCACAGGAACGTGTGTTCTAGCTTTTATTTTGAAGGAACGCATAACTCTCCATGAGTTTTCACAACTTCCGCTTTACCCGGAAGTGACCAATTTGGTCCCCTGCTTGCCCAGATGAAAGCAAAACATGGTATTTTGTTCATTGTTTAGACATTTTTAAACAAAGAAATGGCGTGGAAAAGCAAAGGTTAGTGCAAATATTTATCTAATTATGTAATAGAACTTGCAGCAATTCAGACTACCCAATAATACAGCTACAAATATAGCTAACAAGCTAACGTTAGCTAAACCTTTTAGATATGAAGTTGTGAATGATGTGCAGATGAACAGTAATGGAGCCTCCTCCCCTCAGGCCCCCATCTCCCCCCGGCTTCACTACACCTCCTCGTCCCGCCAGTGAGACTCATGTCTGCCTTCATGTGGCAGATAGTGCAGCAGCACAGTGTTCTGCAGTACGACCAACTGCTGGACTTCATCAGTGTGGCCACAGAGACCGTCCCGGAGCTGCTGAGCCCCGGCCGGAGAGCGAGGCTGCTCCTGGGCCTGAGAGCCAGGGTGAGCCGCTCTGAACCCCCTTCAGATACATTCAGTCTTAATATTACACTCTTTCATAGTCAGTAGTGGAAAGTAACTAAGGACATTTACTCAAGTACTTTATTACAATTAATGATGTGAAATATAATCATCACACACTGACACTACACTCCACCTGGATTAAATTCACAAGCTACCCTGCAGTGTGCAAAGTCATTCAAACTAGCTGCACCTTTACCAGCTTTGAGAACACTTTCATGATCAATCATTATAAAACATATCATATATATTATTCTGAAATGGACCAATCTGCACAATGACTACTTTTACGTTTGGTACTTTAAGTATATTTTGATGATAACTTTTACTTGAGTAACAATTGAAATGCATTTACTTAAAGTACATTTATTTTACAGATTAAGTTACTTTGCAGATTTAGATTATTAATACAAAATATAAATCAACCAATACATTATTATAGGTTAAGCTATCCAGTATATACAATTGTTTAAATGGGCCATTCTGCATGACTTTTACTTTTGGTACCTAAAGTATATTTTGATGAATGTACTTTTTCTTAATCATATTTTAAATGCATTACTTTTACTTTTACTTGTAACTGAGTATTGTTATGTTGTAGTATTGCTATTAACAATCTGAGTACTTATTCCATCTCTGTTCATGACCTTGTTTTGTAGTTTTATAAGTGATAATGTTAGTTATGTGTTTTATTAGTTACATGTATATTCTAAAACACTGTTTTGAGTTACGTGTCTCCCACCTGTGGTCAGCTGGTCCTGGAGCTGTGTCGGAGTGATGGGGGGGCCCATCTGCAGACCATCCAGAGCCACCTGGATCAGATCCAGGCCTGCAGCGCTGAGCTGAGCTCCAGCGATCAGACGGTGGGCTTCAAAGAAAATCCAGAGCTGCTTATTACACAGACATGGACCAACATATCCATTCAGAAATCTGAAATACCTGTTTCTAATCTTGTTGTCCACTTGTCTCAGGCCAGTGGAGATATACTGAAGACCTCTTTCACTAACTTTGCCGCACTGGTGCAGAACCTTTTAAACGTTCCTTTTGAAAAGGAGTTCTTCTTCCAGGTGTGTTTATGAGTCATACAGTGGAGGGATGGGACCCAGATATCTTTAATTATCACAAAAGACACAAGAAAGATTGAATGTTGATCACATAACATCTAGAGACCCACCAACCATTCACAGCAGCTGGGTGTTTCTGCAGGAGGTGTTTCCTGTGAACTACGGCTCTGACTACGACCACAGGCTGCAGCAGCTGGTGTCTGACTTCCTGTCCCGGCTGGAGCAGCTGTTGCCCGTCCCGGACCTGCAGCAGGTAGTGTGTGTGACTGTTGAACCACGACAATGCCCCTGGATCTCTCTTGTTCTTGCTCTGAAGTGTGTACAGTGTTGTTTCACCTGCTTCTCTCTATCTCAGACAGCAGCATGGCTCACAGAAACAACATCTGTGTCCAAAGACTTTGGACAGCATCTGTCCAACCCGTTGGCCCTGAACACTCTGCTGCTCCATCACAGACAGATGGGGACTCTGGGCTCTGGTGAGTTCAACAGAAATATAATAGGAACAGTTTTTTAAGGAGTTTCAATCTGGTTAAAAAGGACCATGTTTTGAACAGGCTTTTTTTGTATCCTTCCTGCTATCTTGCACAATTTCTTTCAATTTGTCTTGTTTATGTTCATTTAGAATATTTGAAGTGACTCTCTCATGTTAACCTCTCCTGTGCTCAGCTCCTTCCAGCAGTGAGGAGGATATCCTTCTGTCCTCTCTGGCCCTCCCTGCTCACACTGCTGTGGAGGAGAGGCTGTCTGAGGCTTACAGTGAGGAAGAGGACTATGACCATGAGGAAGAGACCCTGACACTGGAAGATTTAGAAGAAGACTCGGGTCAAAGCTCAGCCGTCACTGCAGGCGATTGGTTGCCGAAAAGAGAATCAGGTCAGACGATCAGCTGCAGGACAGAACTGTTCTCAAATCAGTCACTTGTTTTACTAACATGCTCCTTTCATGCTTTCAGGTTCCCTGTCCCGTTTCTTTGCCTGCCCTCAGTGTTCTTTCACCCACTGCTTAAAGAGGAAGGTCCAAGAGCACATTCAGAGTGGGCACCCCATTAAAGCCCCCCCCCAGAAAAAACTATTTGTGAAGAAAGCCAGAGCAAAGTCTCAGCAGAAAAGTGCAGATGAAAAAACTAAAGTAGAAGTCAACTCTGAGAAAAAGAGGACACTCAAACCAAAAGGAGGAGTTGATAAAAAGCGGGAACGTAAGCCAAAGAAGAACAACTTAGAAAACAAGGAGCGACGTAAACGGAAAGAGCCCACGGTGGAAGACAAACGCTTCCTGAGCACCAGGCCCGTCAACAAGAAGTTCACCGAGGAGGAAACCAAGTGCCTGAAGTGTGAAAAGGTCTTTGAACTTCCCAATCAACTGAAGACTCACATGAAGCTCCACAGCTTTGCGTACTGCTGCATCCAGTGTGAGAAGGGCTTCATCAGCCCCTCGGGGTACTACCAGCACCAGAGGCTCCACAGGAAGGGGCGGGTCTTCTCCTGCAGCCAGTGCAACAAGAGCTTCCTGTGCAGCTACTCTCTGAAGCAGCACCAGCGGCTGCATGAAGGCCCCTCCAACCTGTGCACCGTCTGTGGGAAGGGCTTCAGCAAGACGGGGATCACCAGACACATGCAGATGCACCGAGGGGAGAAGAACTTCCTGTGCACCACATGTGGGAAGTGCTTCCTGTCCTCCGGGGAGCTAATGCTGCACACCCGTTCCCACACGGGCGAGATGCCCTACACCTGCACCCACTGCGGGAAGGGCTTCTCCACCAAGAGCCACCTGAACGTGCACACACGCTCGCACACCGGGGAGCGCCCCTACCTCTGCTCCGAGTGCCCCAAGCGCTTCCTCACTCTGAACTGCCTGAAGAGACACAAGCTCAGCCACACCGGGCTGAAACCCTTCAAGTGTCCCAGCTGTGAGCGAGAGTTCTCCCAGCAGGGGAACCTGAAGAGGCACCTGGGAACCCACAAACCTGACACGTGATAGCAGAATGTAGTCATCACACCTTTGCACAGAAGCTGTGCAAAGTCAAAATAAACTTTATCATAAACATTTTATTGTTTAATCAGTAACAATTTGAAAGTAAAGTATATGTAATTACTCTGATCTGCCTTTGTTTCTTCATTACTTACAGTTACAAATGTTTTGTTTTTTAATCTAACTTGTGCATTTTAGCAGCCGTTAACCATTACCAAAACTGATGTTGTTTTTCTAGGCTCCTACTTTTCTGCATCCCACTGCGCCTGAGAATCATAAATCATACTTAACTGAGCAAAATAAATGTTAATACCCACACACAGCTGAATGTATTAGTAAAGCTGTGATTATGCACAGTAAATATATTTTTTTTAAATCTTATGTGGATCACATTTAATAGAAAAATATCATTTATTAGCTGAAAATGCAATGGTACCGTGGCAGTTGAGTATCAGCATTGCTCTGCCAGATACATTATGATGAAGAAGACCTGAAACACAGTGTTAGGGAAGTGGAAAACACAGCTGTAGGAAATGCAATTTATTTGCAATTTTTTAATAACATCATTCCTCAGATAAAAATGCAATGTTACAGGATATACATCAGATATTAATTTAAAACTTGCTTTCAAGGGACCATACAGTCTAAATATACTTTTTCCTTTTTTTATTTACTGGTAGCGTGCGTTATAAGCAAGACAGACTCTGTCACCAATGACAGACTGACAAGTTACAGATACAAACTGTACATTACTTATTTACAAATCAACTTTTTGTTTGGTTTTTCATTTAACTTTTTATTGAAAATAGGAGTAGAAAAGTGATTGAATTAATATTCTGATTTATTTCATTTGTATTCTTTCCCTTTCTAAAATGTAAAATGAAGTGAATGAAGGAAAAAATAATAATCAAGAACTCCTTCAGAACAAAGAAAGAAGCAGAAGAAGAACAAAGGGATTGTCAGCTGTGAGACCATGCAGTCGTCACCTAGGAGACAAACGGTTACTGAGGAAACCAAGTGATGTTGGGCCACTTAGCAACCTCAGAACCAATGAAATCCCTCGTAGTGGAGGGGGAGTGGCTTATGTTAAAGAACAGTTACAAAATAACCACCTGCCTCCAAAGCTACTGCAAGTACAAGAACACACTCTGGTTCATTTTCTGACCATAAATAGTGCCGTTATTAAATACTACATTTAACAGTAGCGTCACTAATAATATTACAACAAATTGGTCTCTGTGTTAACACCTCAGACAAATAATAACAGACTTCTCTCTGACAGCACAACAGAAACAATCAGCTCATCCTGTCCAAGGCCCTTTAACACTTTGCATGAACTAAGACAAGAACAAGATCATAAAACACTGCTGACCAGTGGAGGACGGAGCCACGTAGCCATGGCGATAACTCAGGGAATAAGGGACAGAGACCCTGCTGTGAGGATCTGTGGATCCCCTGACACTGAACCATCACCTGTCTGGGTTAAAAGTGTTTAGTTAACGCCTGCATGCTGTTAAAGAGGCGTTTCCACACCAGCAAGAAATAACTAAGAACACTACAGGACACTGCTCTCTGATTGGTCAGTTTAGTTAAAGCTGCATTTACACACAGGCATACCTGTTGATTCTAACTATCTGGGGTCAAATGGGCTTTCTCAGCAAGACAGAACCACTTGGAGTAAGGTTTGTGGAGATGTGTCAGCGTAGAGTTAAAATCTGACTTTTAAGTTCAAAGCTGAGATTGTTGGTAACATTTTATTTTATTCAGGGCTGCTAACAAAGGACATACATCCATACATAAACCAGTAGTCCAACTTTTAAATACAAAATGTGTTAGTAAATGCTAGTACAGCAGTATGAGCATCACTGCGTCTTACATTCCAGATATGATATCATTCGTGGTGCAATGTTAAGGAGCTTTGTGTGTGAATACAAAAAAGAGAATCAATGAGTGATTAAAGTCCCTCCAACAGAATGTTCTCATAGTGTGCTGCTACACAAAGGTAAATAGAGCTATCATTATTTCTAAATCTGTTGGGCAAACAAATCTATTTGGTTCATGTTAGGGCTCATCAGCCCCAGAAACAGGAAGAGGGAAGCAAATAAATAACATTTCTGTTCCTAACCACCATGAACAAATGGCTCTTTCCAACACTATAGCAGACTTTACATGTGTCTATAAGTGGGACTACAGTATGAGCCAGGGTTCTTTGAGATTCTTTCAATACTGGTTAAGGTTTTAACACCTGAATACATTTGACCCCCAAAGTCCTTTCAATAACTTTGAATGAATAATGTTCTTTGAATGGGATTTTTCACATCAAAGAAATAATGAACATAATCTCCTTCTTGATGCCAAATGTCTTGATTATTAATCAAGTTTGACAATGAATCCATCATGTAATGTAATCCCTAACTCCTGCATTGGCAACACACATACGAGGCTAACACTCACATACAGTGAACCCAAACATCTGGCACCCATATCAATACTGCCAGCATGTGGAGAGTTTAACACTGTGGCACATCTGGAACTGATTTGGGCATTTTCCCTCAAAGAACAATATTTGTTTTGATCCTCTGCAAAGTCCAACTCCAAACAATCATATACTATCATATCATTTATATATATGTATATATATAATATCCAAAATAGAAGATACCTGCAATAAAAACGTGTATTTCATAATATATATTCCTTCTATAGCTTTCAGTTCCATATTCCATCATCAATATGCCAAACCAAAATCTGTACAAGAGAAAACTGGGAGAGGATGTTTCTCCAGAAAAGGGAATTCAAGATTGAGATGTATTTAGAATACTACGACAGCAGGATACTCTGGATTTTAAAAGGAAATAAAATCTATATTCAAAATAGTCCTCTTAAAATATCTGTGTCAGGATCAAACAGTGATCAACCAACACTTCGGTTTACAAGAACACTCACACTCTGTGGGTAATAGTAACACGTCTGTGTGCATGTACTGATAAATACACAACTATAATACCTTTTTAACGGTGGAAAATACTACGTTTTGTTAAAGCATGTTGGATGAAGTCTTCTCCTGATACTGATGAATGTATTCTGTCATGTACAGCAGCTTTTCCACATAAACATATTTTTTAACTGATGATCAATTCAACATTTTTGGATCAAATATGCCATAAAATATCTCATACAATGTACTCTTCCAAACTAAACGTTGTCCCATTGCTGCATGAACCCACATACTCCTTAGGTTGCTCAGCAGCTGGACTGATTCCTCCCCTGTCTGCACTACATGAGAGTTTCTACTCATAGAGTTCAAGCTCTCTAATTGTTTTTGGAAGAAGAGAATAGAAGCTACATGATTGACATGGCTCAAAGCATAGAGAGACCTAGTCCTTCGACCGGTGGATTTTTTGGTTTGATGTCTTTGATAGCTTTCAGAATGCATTTGTGTACAGTGTTTGCAGGACTAGTGAAGAGAGACCGGCGTCCCGGCGCTACAGAAGGAAACGTCCAGACTCTGGCTGTGCTGACAGGCTGCTGGTGTTTTCACTTTACCAAAGAACAAAACAAAAGCATGTTGGATTTCAGGTCCCTTTCTGTTCCCTAGTGTCTTCTGAATCTGCACAAATAGCCTCTTTTGGAGTCACAGCATTGGTAATGGTTTTCAGGGGTCTCACCTGAAGGTCATTTGGTTTTTGTGTTATGCAGCTGATGATATTTCAATTAAGTCATATTTGATGGAATGAAGAGCCTCATAGTATGTTGTGAAATGACCTAAAAGCCCAACAAACACTGTTTCCCTCTGTCAGTAGGCCTTTGTAACATATTGTTAGAACCAGCATTTCACAAACTACATTCTCAAAGAAGTGTCCTGCCCTTTACTTCAACATTCTGGTGATTAAATATTATATATTCATATATATCTTGCTATAATATGGTATATGTTGTATAAAAATATACAATCATTGGCTAGTGGTGAGACATAATATACTATCATTCACATTGGACCAATACTTGATATCCCTAGAGAGAAACCCATGCACATTTAACATCACTTGATATATAATCCTCCATGTACGAACCTAGACAACCCTGCGATTCAAACATGGAATAAAAGTATCAACAATCCCTAAAAACACTCTCCATCTCACATTCCCACTCAGACCAAACACCCTGCCTCCTATTGTCATCAACAGATTGTCACTCTTCAACACACATAATAATGGCCATTCAGCGGTTCCAGATCTACAGCAACTAGCACAGAGTGGGAAAAGGCCAGGATTAAGGTTATTAATGTCACCTGTGCTTTCCTTGCTAATTAGAAACACAATCAGCTGTTCAAAACGTGGCAGACTACAAACTTGTGCCGTGTTCAAATTCCACAGTACACACTATTTTGTATACATTATGACTAGATATCAATCTTTGAAGTAGGTGTTTGCAGTGTGTTCACAATAAATCAGCACACTTAAATATGCTGCGCTGTCAAATGTTAAAATGTGACTTTAAAATGACTTCTGTCCAAAGTGTTAAAGTCAGTACTACACAAAGCAACATTCTGTATCTGCCACCATCTATAATTAGGTTCTTAACTGTCAAGGTGCAGAAGTCAAGTTGCAGTTTAAAAGATGTACCGGTAGTAAGATTAGATTTGTTGAATTATGGGAAATGTAGTATTCAAGGTATTTGGACCATGACCTATACTTGGGGCTTAATCCAGATATGATCACCTATGTTTTTTGACATGCCTTAGATTGTGTGGTATGGAATCAGAACACAGCATAAGTTTATCCTGTGGATTTTAAGTTCATGTTGTCATGTACATTGTTCACTTAAATATAGCCTGTAAGCAGTAAGTGTGTCTGTGCTCTGTCTGTCTGTGTTTGTCTGTCCTGAGCCTTGGTTTCAATCAGTCAAAGTGTTTTGTAAAAAACTAATCATTTGGGGTATTTTGGTCCATTTTGTACACATCATTGCCACTGGTCCATCCTCTGAAGACAAGGAAAATATATGAGTCAAAGACAGAGACAACACATAAGCAAAGAGTTAGTGACAACTGTCTAAAGTGGGG